TGAGGGTGCAGTTCTCTATTGATCTATAGGGTCTCTCTCTTTTCTTAGACTGAAACTGAATGCCTTTGGGGGGTAGATTGGCTGGAGAGTAGGGTTCATACTTTATAAGGGCAAGCCCTTGGGTTTGATCCCTCTTGTGCACAAAAGCTTGTACATGCCCATGTGCACACGTGCACATACACACACACAGACACACTCCTTAAATAGTAGTATGCAGAGAGTTCTTGGCACCATTTCCATCATTCTCAAATCCCAAGCATCCCCTCCACTTCTAGGCACCAAGACATTTAGGAATACCAGTCTCCCTCTCCTCATCCTCATCTCTGCCTCAAGGGGGAAAAAAAACACAAAAACACAGCTGGATAAACGTCATATCTTTATTAGGGGGTCTAGACAAAGGCCCCAAAGGGCCGAACCTATACTCCTGAAGTTGAATTCCTCCTGGCTCCATTCCTTCTCTGTCCTTTCTCCTCCTAAGAGCTGGAGGGAAAGAGGCAGCTGGTGTTGCCCCTGTCCTGGAGGACCATCCCCACCTTGGGTCAGAGGGCCCGAGAGGCTATGGCTCCTGGAGAGTTAATCTGGGTTAGAGACCCTTTCTTCTGGTTGCTGCCTGGGGGTTGGGGGTGGGGTGGGAGAGTGAGTTCTGACCTCTGTTCTGTTCTTTCTGGTGTCCCCATTAGACTCCTCCTACTTCCTACTTCATGCGTGTGGAGGCGGCACCCAGAGCCTCCATCCTGAGATTGTAATCACTGAGTCAAATCTCCCAGTAATTTCCTTTTGCTCTCTATCAGGTTCACCCTGGATCCCATCCCACCAAATTTAGAAAGCTGTAAAGTGTCCCTTGTACTCAGGCCTCCTCCTGGGGGATCAGGTCTGTTCCTCTAGGGATCTAGGTCTGTTCCTCTCCCAGGGACCTTCCCCAGCTTCTTGGTGAGCTTATTTCTAAAGAGGAGCAGGAGGGGCTGGGAAGGTGGCTCAGTGGTAGAGTGCTTGTCTTGCATGCATGAGGCCCTGGGTTCGAGTCCTCAGCGCCACATAAGAAAAAAGCCGGAAGTGGTACTGTAGCTCAAGTGTTAGAGCTCTAGCCTTGAGCTGAAGAGCTGAGGGACAGTGCCCAGGCCCAGAGTTCAGGCCCCACAACCAGACCCAAAAAAAAAAAAAAAAGAGGAGCAGGAGGTTGCCCTGGGCCATAGAGGAGGTGTCAGATTTTTCTAAAACTGGGCAGGGCATCCTTTTGAGGCTTTAGCCGGAGATATTGCAGTGCTCCACTGTGCACCTTCCCTGTGGGCCACGTGAAGCCTGCAGGCAGTATGATCCAGCCCCCAACTCTAAGACACTATTGTCAGACCTCCCAAGCTGCTGGGGTCTGGGATCTGTTTGGGATCTTGTGGGGGGGGGCGCGGAGAAGAGGAGTCTACTCTGTCTACTCCAACTGTATCAACCCCCCAGGCGTTGTACTCGCCTAGCTTGCCCTAAGCCATCTCCCCAGGCTCCCTGTGAGCCTGTCAGCTGTACAGGAAGCCTTCTGGAACTGGGCCTGGCTAGGAGACTTGTCTTTCCAGTTGTCTCACTCCCAGCTACCCTGCGGGTTTCCACCACCAGCATCTTTTCAGAGTATAGGAATCGATCGTGGAGGGAAGTCTTCCTCAACCTTGACATTCTATGCTTGATAATTCTTGGGGTACAGGGAGGGTTACCATGCCTTGTAGGATGCTAGGCAGCACCCCTGACTTCCATTAACTATCTGCTAGTAGCACCCTTGAGTTGTGACAAACAAAATGCCATTAAACTTTGGTAAATGTCCCAGGGGTAAGAGGGCAAAATTGCTTAGGCGGAGAACCACTCATGAACTCTAATACTATAAGCTGTCTCTTCTCAGGGAGCTTCCCAAAGTCAATCCCAGATAATTGTATGAAATCAAAAAGTTCCAATTCTGGGGCTGGGAAGGTGGCTCAGTGGTAGAGTGCTTGCCTCACATGCATGAGGCCCTGGATTCGATTCCTCAGCACCACATAAGCAAAAAAAAAATCTTGAAGTGGCGCTGTGGCTCAAGTGGTAGGGCACTAGCCTTGAGCTGAAGATCTGAGGGACCGCGCCCAGGCCCAGAGTTCACCCCCGACTATTGACAAAAAAAAAAAAAAAGTTCCAATTCTAAGCCAGTCCCACTGGGTCAGGCCTGTAATCCTAGCTACTCAGGAGGCTGAGGTCTGAGGATTCAGTTTGAAACCAGCTGAGGCAGGAAAATCCCTGAGACTCTTACCTCCAAAAGGCTAGAAGCAGACGTGTGGCTCAAGTGGTAGAGTGTTACCCTTGAGCGGAAAAAGCTAAGCCTGAGTACCAGCACACACACACACCCCACACACACTCCAGTTCTAAAGTCTTTTCCTACTGAAGAACTTCTTGGTGTCCAACAGCTTCTCAGCAGAATCTACTTCTGCAAGTGGCATTTAAGTCATCCTATATAGACCATTTCATTTTACATGTGTATGTATGTATATATGTAGTATGTCTATGTAGTATATGTTATAGATGTGTGGATAAACATATTTATGTATGTATGTGGCATTAATTTCCTGTTTGTTCCTGTTTAATAAGCAAACTTCTACCACTTGCCCATACTTCAGTCACTTTAATTTTGTTTTTCAGATAGGATCTTATGATTTTGCCCAGACTTGCCTCAGACGCTTATCTTCCTATCTCCATCTCCCTATGCGCTTCCATGCTCAGCTCTCTCTCTTTTCATTTTTAGCTACCAGTTGTCCCCCCCTTCCACTATTCCTGAGCTCAGGCCAAAGTGGGTGTCTCACCTTTCCCATTTACCCATCTTCACCCCTGCGGTAACCTGCAAACCAGGGATGAGAGGTAGGAAACGAACCATTGCAGAGGGCTTTCTCTTCACTGGGTTCTGTTTCTGAATTGTCCAGAGTCTACCCTTATGCCTGCCAGATGCAGTGTGGGCCTCCATTCAGTTCTGGAAGATGCAGGGCCTGAGGTCTCTGACCTCACAAAGGGCAGTCATGGACTCCATCATCTACATGGCCCACTCATCCCACAGATGAGATGACCAACAAATGTGGTCATCAGCTCTCCATCCCCATACTCCTTTACATTTGAAACCTGTTTGTATCATTATCATCGTATTTATTGATACTTCTTCCGTGCCAGGTTTCGTGCAAAGCACTCCATCAGCATTGTCCTATTTCGTCTTCAGTGATCCCATTATGCCTCATGGCACTCTATCTTCTTGATTTTACTGGCAAACAAACTGTATGTAAGAAAAGTTGTCACTAGCTGAAGGGTACCAGCTCTAGTCGCAGACTTTGTATGACCAGCCTTTCCTAATGTCACTTTTCCCAAGTCCTCCGAAGAGGGTCCCAGAATGGGCTGCTCCCAGGTTGTCTGAGACCCCACCCTTTTTTTTTTTTGGGTCCAGTCGCAGGGCCTGAACTCTGGGTCTGGGCGCTGTCCCTCAGCTCTTCAGCTCAAGGCTAGCGCTCTACCAGTTGAGCCACAGCACCACTTCTGGCTTTTTTCTTTTTGCTTATGTGGTGCTGAGGAATCAAACCCAGGGCCTCAGGATTGCAAAGCAAGCGCTCTACCACTGAGCCACCTTCCCAGCCCCGACCCCACCCTTTTTGCTCCTCCCCTTCCCCCTTCAAATAGGTACACTCTGGGGAGCTACTCAAAAGGAAGGAGACTCTGGTGGGAAAGAAGAGGGGGCAGGAACAGGGGGATAGTCTGAGGAGGGGGGGGCTAATCTTTGGACAATGAAAAAAGTAGAGAACTGACCTTCTGGAAGACCAGGACAAAGGGCAGGGCCAGGCTGGGCAGAGCCCAGCTGCCCCTCCTCTTGGCTCCCTCTAGCCAGTCCCTGCAGCAGTAGCACCCCCACCACCATCGATCCACCTTCCCAGCAAGCTCCCCCTCTGCCCCACGCTGGGCCTGACTTGGCCGGAGGCCCTCACCTCAGCTGGCACCAGGGTGGAATGGAGGAGCACACTCCAGTGGACTGGGAAGCAAGGATACTTTGGGGTAAAGGAGTCAGGAGATGCTCGCTGTCCACCCCTCTCCTCATCATCGGAGAAGAAAATCTCTCAGGGGATATGGGGGGGGGGGTCTTGTGAAGGGGGTGGAAGGGATTCAGAGCCTGGACCACCCAGTTTGGGGCTGAGAGGGACCCAGAAGATTAGAGACCTTAGTAAAGCAGCCATGCAGGGCTGTAATTACCCCAGAGGAGCAGGAAGACACCAACCCTAGGATGCTGGAGGAAGGGCGGCCTTCCCCGCCATCACTAGAGAAAGCACAGCCCACGAAGGGATCTCCTTGTGACCCTCCTTCTTTGCCTCCTGACAGTCCCCCCAGGGCCGATTCAGCTGGAGACGGGTTTGGTAGAGGACTGAGATTCGAAGATGCCCGCTGCGCCCCAGGCAGAGCCCCCGGTTCCAGAGAGGATTGGGGTGGGGGGGCTCCCGACCCCGTTCCCCCAGTCCCAGTGGCGGGTGAGTCACCCGAGAGCTCCCTACATAGTCTGCTCGCGCGCGGGATGTACCAACGCCCGGCCGCGGGGGGAGGCACGCCGGCCGGCGGCCTCGGGGCGCCGCGGC